GACAGAGGAGCCTCTTAAAGAAGAAGTTACAGGTCTGTGAGAGCCAGAAATCTTGCTTGTTTATAGGTGACCAAATACTTATTTTCCACCATAATTTGCAAATAAATTCATTAAAAATCCTACAATGTGATTTTCTGGATTTTTTTCTCTCAATTTGTCTGTCATAGTTGACGTGTACCTATGATGAAAATGACAGGCCTCTCTCGTCTTTTTAAGTGGGAGAACTTGCACAATTGGTGGCTGACTAAATACTTTTTTTCCCCACTGTACACTACCAGTCAAAAGTTTGGACACACATACTCATTCAAGGGTTTTTCTTTATTTGCACTATTTTCTACATTGTAGAATAATAGTGAAGACATCAAAACTATGAAATAACACATATGGAATCATGTAGTAACCAAAAAAGTGTTAAACAAATCAAATATATTTTATATTTGAGATTCTTCAAATAGCCACCCTTTGCCTTGATGACAGCTTTGCACACTGTTTGCATTCTCTCAACCAGCTTCATGAGGTAGTCACCTGGAATGCATTTCAATTAACAGGTGTGCCTTCTTAAAAGTTAATTTGTGGAATTTCTTTCCTTCTTAATGCGTTTGAGCCAATCAGTTGTGTTGTGACAAGGTAGGGGTGTATACAGAAGATAGCCCTATTTGGTAAAAGACCAAGTCCATATTATGGCAACAACAGCTCAAATAAGCAAAGAGAAACAACAGTCCATCATTACTTTAAGACATGAAGGTCAGTCAATACGGAAAATGTCAAGAACTTTGAAAGTTTCTTGAAGTGCAGTCGCAAAAACCATCAAGCGCTTTGATGAAACTTGCTCTCATGAGGACCGCCACAGGAATGGAAGACCCAGAGTTACCTCTGCTGCAGAGGATAAGTTCATTAGAGTTACCAGCCTCAGAAATTGGAGCCCAAATAAATGCTTCACAGAGTTCAAGTCACAGATACATCTCAACAGCAACTGTTCAGAGGGGACTGTGTGAATCAGGCCTTCCTGGTCTAATTGCTGCAAAGAAACCACTACTAAAGGACACCAATAAGAAGAGACCTGCTTGGGCCAAGAAACACGAGCAATGGACATTAGACCGGTGGAAATTTGTCCTTTGGTCTGGAGTCCAAATTGGAGATTTTTGGTTTCCAACCACCGTGCCTTTGTGAGACGCGGTGTGGGTGAACGGATGATCTCCACATGTGCATTTCTCACCGTAAAGCATGGAGGAGGAGGTGTTATGGTGTGGGGGTGCTTTGCTGGTGACACTGTCTGTGATTTATTTAGAATTCACAGCATTCTGCAGTGATACGCCATCCCATTTGGTTTGGGCTTAGTGTGACTATCATTTGTTTTTCAACAGGACAATGGCCCAACAGACCTCCAGGCTGTGTAAGGGCTATTTTACCAAGAAGGAGAGTGATGGAGTGCTGCATCAGATGACCTGGCCTCCACAATCCCCCGACCTCAACCCAATTGAGATGGTTTGGGATGAGTCGGACCGCAGAGTGAATGAAAATCAGCCAACAAGTACTCAGCATATGTGGGATCTCTTTCAAGACTGTTGGAAAAGCATTCCAGGTGAAGCTGGTTGAGAGAATGCCAAGAGTGTGCAAATCTGTCATTAAGGCAAAGGGTGGCTATTTGAAGAATCTTAAATATAAAGTATATTTTGATTTGTTTAACACTTTTTGCGTTACTACATGATTCCATATGTGTTATTTCATAGTTGTGATGTCTTCACTATTATTCTACAATGTAGAAAATAGTGCAAATAAAGAAAAACCCTTGAATGAGAAGGTGTCCAAACTTTTGACTTGGACTGTATCATACATTCTAAAATATCAATCATTAGTAGTTCCGTTTTAATACCAGCTATTGTGAAAGGAATCTAATTTACAAAAAATGGCAGATGTTAAATTGATCACTGTGATCATAAAAATCCCTTATTCAAGTTATATTATATTAGTTTGATAGTTGAATGAAAATGGAAGAACTTCATATGTACAATCTGCAGATTCATTTCCAAACCGGTTAGAATAAAGAGATGTGATGATACAGGCCACACAAATCAACTCCTGCCTAGGATGACCTTTTGGCTCATTCATGCATTGGCAGAACTGGTGCCAGCACAAATATGTCAGTCCCACCCCCCTCTCTCCTCCAGTTGCAATTGACTGCAGTCCCCTGAAGCTGGTCACTTCCTATTTTTCCCTGAACTCTGTGTAGCTCAGAATGGCAGTGCAGCAGCACTCCTGATTAGCATGAAGTAATGATGGTGAGCTGGGCTCCATTGTTCTAACACCTCCCCTCTCCTCCGCACCAATCTGTCACCGTTCAGCGGACTAGCGCTGCCTCAAATGCTGCTCTTCACAAATGAGATGGATAATTAGTTGCCCCTCACGAATGCTGCACTCTTCTCACCCCTGATTGCTTTCACCTTTTTGCTCCTGGCAATTTTGACACCTCGTAATCAGCCTGCTGCTTCTCCCTCCCAATCCATATCGTTCTTCCTCCTATTCCTCAAATGTTCCCTCCAAACACAGCCAACACAACTCACATGGAACAACAAGAGGTTAGGTGCACCTCAAGGTGGGCATAAAATGGGATCCCAAGAGCTAAAGTGAGTTTTCTTCTCTCGCTGTCCACATTACTTTATTAACAAGTGAGTAAACATACAAAAGAGACAAAAAAAATCATAAGCCTAGCTGTCAGTGCCGCTTCCCTTCCAAATAACAAGCAGTGACAACATAATTATGTGCAAGCATCTGTCGATGATTCCAGAGAGAGAACCATACAGTCTGCACTGTGTTCAACTCTTCACCGAATTACAAGGCACAATCATTAGGGAGATTGCTTATTTGTATTTGCTACATTTTCCAGAATAAATTCTCTCTCTCCTTCACTGTCCATAATTTGATGTGAAAATTCTACAGTTTATGTTCAACCAAATTAGGCGTAGCACATTATGCTTGGCACATTGTACATGACCAAAATGTAATATTCAGCTTTGTAAATACAGCACAAGGACATGTTGTTTCAGCTATTTCGCCCTCTCAGATAATGTATTGTTTTTGTGTGGTACTAATGTCTTCCCCTTCCCTTGTCCACTTGAACAGCAACACATTGTTCTAATAATCCATTAGCATAGGTCAAAGAGGATGAATAGGCTCTCCTCTCCCTTTTGATATCAAATCCTGATCTCTTTCTCTTGGTCCTCCATCACAGAAGATTTGAGCATAACTATAAAGATTGTTGAAGTAATATATAAAAATCAGGCAATAATGTCTGTGATAAAGCAATGACAGTATTCTGTGATGATCAAATCCATAAAACACGACTCAATATGATTCTCCATTATGTAAAATAAATGAAATAGCTATAAAGTAAAAAGTATGCACTCACTATTGGAGGTCCCTCTGGATAAGAGCTTCTGCTAAATGAGTCAAATGTAAAATGAAGTATCCACCGGTGTTGAGTAAAGCATGCAAAATGGGATTAATAAAATATCCTGTTTGCAGTCTTCACACCAGCTCATCTACACAGCACAAGTGTTACCAGCCCATATCTGAAGGGCTACAAGGTCCTCAATGCACACAGATGTGTTTTAATACACATATTTTCCCTATTTCCCTAAGACATCGTCACACAAGATAGTGAAAATTACTACAATTATTTGCAAAGCTGTGAATAAATATTGCCAAAGTCAAAAGCTATTTGTAGGCAAGAGTTTAATCATGAAAACTCCTGTGTTTCTAACAGCTTGTGTATTTAGTATACTGTTACTAGCTGGTCATTGATAGAATTAAAGACTTTCAAATGTAAAATGTAGGCTTGATAATGTAGTCCTAATCACCAACCCATAAAAAGGGAGGGGGGGGGAATACATAATAAACCATGTTCATTTGTCTATTCATCTGTTAATAATGCACTACCTATCATCTAAATATGTATAACACTAATCTATGCCAAGGATAAAAACATTACACTACAAATTGTAAGATAATTGTGCATGTAATTGAAGAACTGAGCATGTACCTGATGTTATGTTGAGTAACACGTTTTAATTAACATGTTTACCTGCACACATCTGCTTTCAATTACCATATGGTGTTATAACTTATAAAATTGTTTTAATGAACTGGAATGACTTCACATTCTGTGCTAAGCATACATACAGCTGCTACAAATTGCAAAAGCAAATTTAGCCTGTATTTAGGCATTACTTTTAATAAAAACTTATGTGAACAATATTTTACTAACCAGCATGCAGACAGCCTAATCATTTAAAAGTTGCCAAATATCCTCACTATAAATTCATTAGTAACACATTGTGCTGGAATATATATTGTAGATTGAAAGGATTTATGTAATGCAGATACAGTAATTATTCCCCTAAAATGTATGAATGGTTACTATACTGAACAGAAATATAAATGCAACATGTAAAGTGTTGGTCCCATGTTTCATGAGCTGAAATAAAAGATCCCAGAAATTGTCCATACGCACAAAAAGCTAATTCCTCAAAACTGTTGAGCACAAATTTGTTTACATCCCTGTTAGTGAACATTTCTCCTTTGCCAAGATAATCCATCCACCTGACAGGTGTGGCATATCAAGAAGCTGATTAAACAGCATGATCATTACACAGGTGCACCTTGTGCTGGGGACAATAAAAGGCCACTTAAAATGTGCAGTTTTGTCACACAACACAATGCCACACATGTCTCAAGTTTTGAGGGACCGTGCAATTGGCATGCTGACTGCTGGAATCTCCACCAGAGCTGTTGCCAGATAATTTAATGTTTGTTTCTCTAACATAAGCCGCCTCCAGCATCATTTTAGAGAATTTAGCAGTACGTCCAACCGGCCTCACAACCGCAGACCACCTGTAAGCCTACATGTCCACACTGTATGTCAACATATTTGCACCATGCCAAGTCCCTGTGTTTTATAAAGACAAACAAAATAATATAAGTGAAAAATCATGATTAAATTATTGCTTTATTATACTTAAACCTACATACTGTACAATATCATTTCATATGTCTAGAGATGTACAAGTAATATCTTAAGACGACGACTGTAAAATGTACCATTCAACTCTTACAAATTAAATAAATGATCAAGAGTGGATTCTAGTCCCGTTGCAAACGCCAGTGTGACATCCAGCCCAGCGCGTGTAATTCATGGCAGGGCAACAAAGACATGAATAAACCATGAAATAATCCTAGAGGTGTTGCATTGGGCAGCCAGTGTCTGCTAGTGTCGATTGCTGGCCTCACTCGCCCTCTGGCAATGAGTAAAAAGGTGGCTCTTCATGTGGTCTTGGGGAACTACCGCGTTGCAGTAAGCACAGATATCAGGGCTGTTGTTGTTGATCTGTTGTTGTGGCTTGGCACTCACAGCCTGTGCTGCTGCTGCTACTGCTGTAGCATCACAAAGCTCAGGGCTCCACAGGGGCTACATGAAGGGACAAACACACCACTTATACTCCATTATTCATACACTTTGCATTGCTTACACTCACCCACTTACAGTTGGCCATGTGCTTGGGTCTCCACTGATGAAAGATCTGTTGCTCCGGGGAATACAAGCAAAGCAGTGTCCCACTTGAACCCGCTTTCTCAACATCCATAGTTCCTGCCCCACTACTTATAGTATTGTAATGCTGTACATTTGCTAACAGTAGGATTGAATAGTTACTTGTTTCTGGCATTGTATGTTAAGTTAGAAACAGAGAAATCTAACCAAATAAATCATACCCCAGACACAGCATTAATCATACCCCAGACACGCGTCTGAACAAAGGTGTATTTCTTCGGTGTATTTTTTAACCAAAAGCATGGTTAAGCAATACTCAATAAAGACAAGATGACCTTCCTAAAATTCTAAAGAATACATGACAGCTAAAGATCAATTTGATGTACACATCCAGCAATATGGGACTCGGATTATCAAAGAAATCTGTGAGGCAAATTGCTGTGTATTATCAAAATACTTCATAAAAAATAATTATTGCTTCTATAATTCTGCATTCACGACCTCACAGGGGAGCACAGTTGTACTGATAATGGTAGTAAAAAAATATACATTACTTTGGTTCTGACATCAACATGGACTTACAGTTGAAGTCGGAAGTTTACATACACTTAGGTTGGAGTCATTAAAACTTGTTTTTCAACCACTACACACATTTCTTGTTAACAAACTATAGTTTTGGCAAGTCGGTTAGGACATCTACTTTGTGCATGACACAAGTAATTTTTCCAACAATTGTTTACAGAAAGATTATTTCACTTATAATTCACTGTATCACAATTACAGTGGGTCAGAAGTTTACATACACTAAGTTGACTGTACCTTTAAACAGCTTGAAAAATTCCAGAAAAGTATATAATGGCTTTAGAAGCTTCTGATAGGCTAATTGACATAATTTGACTCAATTAGAGGTGCACCTGTGGATGTATTTCAAGGCCTACCTTCAAACGCAGTGCCTCATTGCTTGACATCATGGGAAAATCAAAAGAAATCAGCCAAGATCTCAGAAAAGAAATTGTAGACCTCCACAAGTCCGGTTCATCCACGGGAGCAATTTCCGAACGCCTGAAGGTACCACGTTCATCTGTACAAACAATCGTACGCAAGTATAAACACCATGGGACCACGCAGCTGTCATACCGCTCAGGAAGGAGACGCGTTCAATGAACGTACTTTGGTGCGAAAAGTGCAAATCAGTCCCAGAACAACAGCAAAGGACCTTGTGAAGATGCTGGAGGAAACAGGTACAAAAGTATCTATATCCACAGTAAAACGAGTCCTATATCGACATAACCTGAAAGGCTGCTCAGCAAGGAAGAAGCCACTGCTCCAAAACCGCGATTAAAAAGCCAGACTACGGTTTGCAACTGCACATGGGGACAAAGATCGTACTTTTTGGAGAAATGTCTTCTGGTCTGATGAAACAAAAATAGAACTGTTTGGCCATAATGACCATGGTTATGTTTGGAGGAAAAAGGGGTCGGCTTGCAAGCCGAAGAACACCATCCCAACCGTGAAGCACGGGGGTGGCAGCATCATGCTGTGGGGGTGCTTTGCTGCAGGAGGGACTGGTGCACTTCACAAAATAGATGGCATCATGAGGAAGGAAAATTATGTGGATATATTGAAGCAACATCTCAAGACATCAGTCAGGAAGTTAAAGCTTGATCGCAAATGGGTCTTCCAAATGGACAATGACCCCAAGCACACTTCCAAAGTTGTGGCAAAATGGCTTAAGGAAACAAAGTCAAGGTATTGGAGTGGCCATCACAAAGCCCTGATCTCAATCCTATAGAACATTTGTGGGCAGAACTGAAAAAGCATGTGCGAGCAAGGAGGCCTTCAAACCTGACTCAGTTACACCAGCTCTGTCAGGAGGAATGGGCCAAAATTCACCCAACTGATTGTGGGAAGCTTGTGGAAGGCTACCCAAAACATTTGACCCAAGTTAAACAATTTAAAGGCAATGCTACCAAATACTAATTGAGTGTATGTAAACTTCTGACCCACTGGGAATGTGATGAAATAAATAAAAGCTGAAATAAATCATTCTCTCTACTATTATTCTGACATTTCACATTCTTAAAATAAAGTGGTGATCCTAACTGACCTAAGACAGTGAATTTTTACTAGGATTAAATGTCAGGAATTGTGAAAAACTGAGTTTAAATGTATTGGGCTAAGGTGTATGTAAACTTCTGACTTCAACTGTATATAACCAACTACAAAACTGCATGGCAGAAAAGCATTATCATCCAAAACAATTGGTGTGTTTTATGATAATTTGTTAATTCTCTATTTGCTGATTTTATGTCTATGACAAATAGTGAGGTAGTCACCTTGTAATAAATATGGAACAAGCATTGTTGTACACATAGGCCTATCATATCTCACCTCACCTCTCTTTGTTTTAGCAGTAGTAGGCACTATTTTCGTCCTGGACTTGTTGAAAACCATTCTTCAACAGGTATAAATCTACTGAATCTAACCAATTAAGGGCATTTCCATGTTAGTTTTAAGTTTGGCTGGCGCTCTCAACTCAGTAATTAGAGAATAATTGCCTTTTATCGTGATCAACAACTTTCGTCGATGTGTGAGGTTGTCTTTCACTACTTATATGCCCTCTCTCTCCCATTCATTTGCCAGAACAAATCTGGTGTTGAGAATGTCCTACTTTTACCTGCAAATAAAGAAAAGAGCTCTCACCTTCTGGGGTCCACACACACTCTCGTGTGAGAGCGAGGTGGATGGGGAGGTGGGGTGAGAGGGAGATGTAGGATACAGGAATGGGATGGCCAGCTCCATAGACGGTTCCACTAAGACGGCAGGGATACTGCTGACTGCTGGCCGTTTCCTTGGCATGGACAGGTCAAAGTGTTTCTCTGGAGCGCTGTTCAGGAACTCATATTCACTGTCTGTGGAGGGGGGGAACTTGACGCTGAGTCTGTTGAGGGAGTCCAATAGGTCCTCTTGACTGGCACCGCGGGATGCCAGGGCCGTGGGCGGGTGCTGGAGGTCGACCCCTGGCCTTAAGGCTGAGGCTGAGGGGAAAGGCCTCTCCGCCAGCTCCGCAGTCACGTCTGTACACTGAATGGGCATGGAGAACTGCTGCTCTGTCGAATGGCAAACGCAATGCTTTTATCATACTGTTTATGTAACATAATCGATATTCACTTACAACATTGAGATATTAAGTTATGCTATTGAGTTGCGATTAGTTCAAGTAATTATGAATAATCGAGTAATAATGAATAATGTCAAGAACCTTTTCCCTTTTAATTTAGTCTTCTAATTTCACACATTAACTATAATATGAGCATTTGTTTTCTTTTATTCCAACTTTTTTTATTTCAACTAACCAGTGCTACATCACAGAATATTTTTTTTCTGCTCATTCTATTTCCACACAGGTGGAGGTCCATGGGTCAATAGGCCAATGAGGCATTAATGTACGGTTCTGCTTAATGTGTTGCTATCTAATTGTGTACAGGAATAAAGCTAAAGCTACAATATATAATTACTAATACAGTGTTATGACATATCCAAAGCAATTGTAACTCAACATATTTTCTCTATTGTAATTAAATTAAGAGTCAAGCTGGACATGAGTTCAGGCCTTGGGTGCCTTTCAACAGTGCTGGAATAATACGCAATTTCTCCAATCTAAATTTACTATTGTGCAGACTTTAATATTACCATTTGCCATGTCATTTCCTCTGTAGAATCTTTTCAGGTGATCTTTTTGTCTCCGGGTTAATGTCTGTATCTGTTGGAATTTCCCCTGAAGAGCTTGAAACGCGGCAAGAACATCTTTACTGAGAGACAAAGATATACAAGTAAGAAAACTGCTTTTCAGCCAAAAATGAAGTAAAGATACTGGTGACTAATGCACATACTTCTCAAAACTGCTGTCTACAGGTGCTGTGTGTGGTGAAGGTGACACAATCACTGCAGTTTCCATATTCCCCTTCTGAAAAACAGACACACATGGCATTGAGGACTTACATGGCAAGAAATATCCACCGTACTAATATCAACTATTCATATTGAAATGTTTAGCTTAGAAATCAAATACTATATTTTTTTCCTGCATAAAGTCATCATGTCATAAAAACATATGTAATCTAATTACGATAATTATACATTCAAACAAAAATTATCTGATTATTGTTAATGAATCTACTAAAATGGTTGCTGCCTTGTGATCGATTAGGGAATTATTTATCAACAATAAAGCTGGTGGCGCTATAAAGCTGATGGCTTATAATGGCCTCAGACCCTGAGGTTCGGTGATGCTATCCTCTAGCGCCACCTGTCGATGAAAGACTGTATGTGTGTATTCATGCTTTAAAAAATAATGTTAAATGTTCATGTTTCCCAGCTAAAAATAGAGCTTGTGACCTTTATTAGAGTGAAGCAACAAGATGAAAGATGACCTATGTCACAGGAAGTGGAACTATTGTATTGTGCATTGGCATGATCACTGTTACTGCTATCAGGCACTGCAGACACATTTACATTTACATTTTAGTCATTTAGCAGACGCTCTTATCCAGAGCGACTTACAGTTACTGAATACATTTTTTATTTAATTTTTTTATACTGGCCCCCCGTGGGAATCGAACCCACAACCCTGGCGTTGCAAACGCCATGCTCTATCAACTGAGCTACATCCCTGCCGGCCATTCCCTCCCCTACCCTGGACGACGCTGGGCCAATTGTGCGCCGCCCATGAGTCTCCCGGTCGCGGCCGGCTGCGACAGAGCCTGGATTCGAACCAGGATCTCTAGTAGCACAGTTAGCACTGCGATGCAGTGCCTTAGACCACTGCGCCACTCAGGAGACACAGAACATCTACAAGCAATGTACAATTTGTGAACAATAACGTCTGTTTGTGTGTGTGGCTGTGCGTGTGCTTGCTTGTAAAAAAGAGAGAGCGAGGATATTGAGCTCATTTGAGAGAAAACAAAAATAAAATAATTATGAGGCAGCAAATGCCATGTTTACACCCTATCCAGTGCGTCAACCCCTGAATGAGACATGAGGCACCCTAAATGCAAAAAAGTTATTTAGGGTTCTCTAAATAATACTAATTTAACCATTCTACTATTTGTTTAAAATGCTATTTGTACTGCTGCAGTGGCAAATATTAAAATAAAAGCTTATTCCAGATTAAACAAACACCCCCATCTCTGTGTCATGATTTAAACCGTTTTTTCCCCCATGTGGCTGCACTTGTCATCCCGGGACAGTCCCGCATCTCAGTCCCTTTTCTTCCTACAAAAAAGGCCCTTCTGTCAGCAAGACGATTCAATTAATTCAGGCTGCAAGAGTGTAGACCCAATGACAATCGGCAAATGTCATTAGACTTTTTGGTGGTTTGTAACAGATGTCTCTTTTCATTCATCAAATGGCACGAGGGCACAGTGCACTGTTTGGATGCTGGAATTATTTTGGAGTGGACGAACATGCGCAAGTAGCCTACTTTTTGAAGTGATTTGTTTGACAATAAAATTAAAAACATCATGACTGGTTGTGTTCATGACAATTAAAAGGGAATACATTATTTTTACCATTAAATGTCTTTACTATTAGGCCCATAAAACATGTATTTTTTCACACATAGGTGGTCTTGTGAAAAAAATGTAGACACCCCAAATGTCACAGCATAATTCGCACTCTGACCCTATCACATCCGTGCATTTTGCCTGTCTGCATCATATTTGTAAACATAAATAAACAATATCTAATTATCCTCTTATGTGGATTGTATTAATAATTGTGTTAAACATGCTACCAAGTAATGAATCTTCCGGAAGGAGCTGTCTGGGTTGTCAAAGAGATGGTTGGAAGGAGACAGGGTTTCTTCTTCCTGTTTTCTAGGAACAGCCTCACCTTTGACCTCTCCTAAGAATAAAATAAGATAGAAAAATATAATGTAGCAGACCAACCAGTTAGTCAACACGGGAAGTCTCATTTTTGATGGGAAGTGTACAATGTCCTGAAACAGCAATAATCAGCACAATTTATCTCCAGGAGAACCGAAAATGCAACAGAATGCATGCACGTGCCCAATGTAGACTACTGTTTCACTGTTTCTTTCACTATAGTTGAACTGTATGGTATAGAATATGTCAAAATATGTCATCATGCAAACAATAGTATTAAGAAAACAATGATGCTTGTCACTTACCTGAGGGTTGCTTAGTTGCTGATATCAACTGAACTTTGAGTTTTGAAATCAATTGCTGCTGGTCTTCTATCTGTTTCTGAAGTTTCTGAGTGTGCCGTTCATAATATTCATTCTGCAAAAGTTAACCTTTCATTACATATTAATCATGAATGTCATCACTTACTAGGTAGGTAGCCTTTTGTAGCCTCTATTGTAAATAACTGTAATTACCATGCTACAGTATTTCATTATATCAAAGCACTGTATAGAAGGCTATGCCACATCGCACTGGACAGAGTTGAAGTCTCATAGGTAAATTAGAAGATTTTGTTTTCTATCACAATGATTTAGGTATCATACCGTCTGCTGTAGTTCCCTTTTGGCGCTGTCTCTCTCGATAGAGGCCTGGCGGTAAGCTTCAAATGCCTTGTTGAGCTGGTCTCCAATATTCCTCTCCATGCCGTGTGCTCCACGATCATCACTGACACAGCAGTCATGGGCCCTGTGGCAACATATCACGCAACCAATGTTTAGGGGCAGAATGCAGCATTAAAGCACATTATCACATGATTTGCTGTAAAATGCAAGTCCTCCTCCATAATCATGAAACTGGAGCCAGTGCACACTTCTCTTTCATGCCTGTACTTGCTAATTTTAGAAACTCACGATAAACATTGAGGATTATCATAAGTTCCCTGTGTAGAAATAGCCTATTGATGAGAAAGCAAAAACAAACATCCAAAATATCTACTAAATAAATAAATGTTCTGGTACTCATGATGATAAGAAATTGATTACATCTATTGACACTAATGCAATATTGAATAATAGCCTTTTTTTTACTGATACATTAATTGACATTACTGAATGCCATCGTTCGTTACTAATCTTTGGTTCATACATGACTTGAGCAATGGCTGCAACAACTGTAATAAATAAATCACTGAGAAGGTGTTAATAGGTTTCATAAATTATAATGAAATGTACAATATTTTGGGTAAACGTACCTCAATGTAGTTAGCCATTATTTATGATAGCTAATGACTAATACCAAATAACCTACTGTATGTCTATCAATACAATTGTATTATGACATGATCAATACATTAAGCTACTAATACGATAAACCTTTTCTTGCCCAGGGAGCCCTTCCCAGGCAAACCGGCGACCCAGGGTCCCCCATCATACGTTAGGGGGGAAAATGGTATTTTCATCATGTGAATAATAATGGCAAGGAGAAGTAATCAACATTTTAAAATGAATTGATTTGGTATATCGTTTTGTATTATTTTGACCTCCACACATTATAATTGGAAGAGTTAAAAAAAGGTTAGCCATGTGTTGGCAAAAATGTATGTCCAAGTCACAAAAGCTTACCAGCAGCCAGTGGCACTTACCGCACCGGTAGCCTATTCGTGGGTAGTTTTTCAGATATACTCCAGTGAGTGTAATTGGCTCCAATGAGTGTAATTTGCTCAATATTAGGAGTTGAGAAGTAAAGTTCACATCATTAGAAATATAATATCTTATTTTCTACTGTAGGTATGTAATTCAAAAAATTGTATTCTGTTGTTGCTAGCGATATTCATAAAATTCATTTAAAAACAATTTAATCAATTTTAGAATAAGGCTGTAACGTAACATAATGTTGAAAAAGTGAAGCGGATGCACTGTGAAGCGGATGCACTGTATATATATATATATATATATATATATATATATATATACACAGTGGGGGAAAAAAGTATTTAGTCAGCCACCAATTGTGCAAGTTCTCCCACTTAAAAAGATGAGAGAGGCCTGTAATTCTCATCATAGGTACACGTCAACTATGACAGACAAAATGAGGAAAAAAAATCCAGAAAATCACATTGTAGGATTTTTTATGAATTTATTTGCAAATTATGGTGGAAAATAAGTATTTGGTCAATAACAAAAGTTTCTCAATACTTTGTTATATACCCTTTGTTGGCAATGACACAGGTCAAATGTTTTCTGTAAGTCTTCACAAGGTTTTCACACACTGTTGCTGGTATTTTGGCCCATTCCTCCATGCAGATCTCCTCTAGAGCAGTGATGTTTTGGGGCTGTCGCTGGGCAACACGGACTTTCAACTCCCTCCAAAGATTTTCTATGGGGTTGAGATCTGGAGACTGGCTAGGCCACTCCAGGACCTTGAAATGGTTCTTACGAAGCCACTCCTTCGTTGCCCGGGCGGTGTGTTTGGGATCATTGTCATGCTGAAAGACCCAGCCACGTTTCATCTTCAATGCCCTTGCTGATGGAAGGAGGTTTTCACTCAAAATCTCACGATACATGGCCCCATTCATTCTTTCCTTTACACGGATCAGTCGTCCTGGTCCCTTTGCAGAAAAACAGCCCCAAAGCATGATGTTTCCACCCCCATGCTTCACAGTAGGTATGGTGTTCTTTGGATGCAACTCAGCATTCTTTGTCCTCCAAACACGACGAGTTGAGTTTTTACCAAAAAGTTATATTTTGGTTTCATCTGACCATATGACATTCTCCCAATCCTCTTCTGGATCATCCAAATGCACTCTAGCAAACTTCAGACGGGCCTGGACATGTACTGGCTTAAGCAGGGGGACACGTCTGGCACTGCAGGATTTGAGTCCCTGGCGGCGTAGTGTGTTACTGATGGTAGGCTTTGTTACTTTGGTCCCAGCTCTCTGCAGGTCATTCACTAGGTCCCCCCGTGTGGTTCTGGGATTTTTGCTCACCGTTCTTGTGATCATTTTGACCCCACGGAGTGAGATCTTGCGTGGAGCCCCAGATCGAGGGAGATTATCAGTGGTCTTGTATGTCTTCCATTTCCTAATAATTGCTCCCACAGTTGATTTCTTCAAACCAAGCTGCTTACCTATTGCAGATTAATTCTTCCCAGCCTGGTGCAGGTCTACAATTTTGTTTCTGGTGTCCTTTGACAGCTCTTTGGTCTTGGCCATAGTGGAGTTTGGAGTGTGACTGTTTGAGGTTGTGAACAGGTGTCCTTTATGCTCAAACAGGTGCCATAAATACAGGTAACGAGTGGAGGACAGAGGAGCCTCTTAAAGAAGAAGTTACAGGTCTGTGAGAGCCAGAAATCTTGCTTGTTTGTAGGTGACCAAATACTTATTTTCCACCATAATTTGCAAATAAATTCATTAAAAATCCTACAATGTGATTTTCTGGATTTTTTTTTCTCAATTTTTTTGTCATAGTTGATGTGTACCTATGATGAAAATTACAGGCCTCTCTAATATTTTTAAGTGGGAGAATTTGCACAATTGGTGGCTGACTAAATACTTTTTTTCCCCACTGTATGCATCTGTTGGTCACAGATATCTAAAAAAATAAAATAAAAATCGGCCTCACAATGGGCGCCAGGATCTCATCACAGTATTTCTGTGCATTCAAATTGCCATCGATAAAATGCAATTGTGTTATTGTCCGTAGCTTATGCCAGCCCATACCATAACGCCACCACCACCACAGCAAACCGCTCGCTCACACAATGCCATACACATGGTCTACGGTTGTGAGGCCGGTTGGCCATACTGCCAAATTCTCTAAAACAACGTTGGTGGCGGCTTATGGTAGAGAAATTAACATTCAATTCTCTGGCAACATATCTGGTGGACATTCCTGCAGTAAGCATGCCAATTGCACACTCCCTCAAAACTTGAGACATTTTTGGTATTGTGTTGTGTGACAAAACTGCACATTTTAGAGTGGCCTTTTATTGTCCCCAGCACAAGGTGTACCTGTGTAATGAGCATGCTGTTTAATCAGCTTCTTGATATGCCACACTTGTCAGGTGGATGGATTATCTTGGCAAAGGAGAAAGGCTCACTAACAGGGATGTAAGCAAATTTGTGCACAACATTTGAGAGAAATAAGCTTTTTGTGCATATGGAACATTTCTGGGATCTTTTATTTCAGCTCATGAAACATGGGACCAACATTTTACATGTTGCGTTTATATTTTTGTTCAGTATATATATATATATATATAAAAAAGTTTGCACACACCTACTCATTCAAGGGTTTTTCTTTATTTTGACTATTTTCTACATTGTATAATAATAGTGAAGACATCAAAACTATGAAATAACACATATGGAATCATGTAGTAACCAAAAAAGTGTTAAACAAATCAAAATATATTTTATATTTGAGATTGTTCAAATAGCCACCCTTGCCTTGATGACAGCTTTGCACACTTTTGGCATTCTCTCAACCAGCTTCACCTGGAATGCTTTTCCAACAGTCTTGAAGGAGTTCCCACATATGCTGAGCACCTGTTGGCTGCTTTTCCTTCACTCCGCGGTCCAACACATCCCAAACCATCTCAATTGGATTGAGGTCGGGTGATTGTGGAGGCCAGGTCATCTGATGCAGCACTCCATCACTCTCCTTCTTGGTAAAATAGCCCTTACACCGCCTGGAGGTGTGTTGGGTCATTGTCCTGTTTAAAAAGAAATGATAGTCCCACTAAGCCCAAACCAGATGGGATGGTGTATCGCTGCAGAATGCTGTGGCAGCCATGCTGGTTAAGTGTGCCTTGAATGATAAATAAATCACATACAGTGTCACCAGCAAAGCACCCCCACACCATAACACCTCCTCCTCCATGCTTTACGGTGGGAAATACACATGCAGAGATCATCCGTTCACCCACACCGCGTCTCACAAAGACACAGCGGTTGGAACCAAAAATCTCCAATTTGGACTCCAGACCAAAGCACACATTTCCACTGGTCTAATGTCCATTGCTTGTGTTTCTTGGCCCATGCAAGTCTCTTGTTATTATTGGTGTCCTTTAGTAGTGGTTTCTTTGCAGCAATTCGACCATGAAGGCCTGATTCACGCAGTCTCCTCTGAACAGTTGATGTTGAGATGTGTCTGTGACTTGAACTCTGTGAATAATTTATTTGGGCTGCAATTTCTGAGACTGGTTACTCTAATGAACTTATCCTCTGCAGCAGAGATAACTCTGTGTCTTCCATTCCTGTGGCGGTCCTCATGAGAGCCAGTTTCATCATAGTGCTTGATGGTTATTGAAACTGCACTTGAAGAAACTTACAAAGTTCTTGAAATATTCCGTATTGACTGACCTTCATGTCTTATTTAAGCTGTTCTTGCCATAATATGGACTTGGTCTTTTACCAAATAGGGCTATCTTCTGTATACCACCCCTACCTTGTCACAACACAACTGATTGGCTCAAATGCATTAAGAAGGAATGAAATTCCACAAATTAATTTTTTAGAAGGCACACCTGTTAATTGAAATGCATTCCAGGTGACTAACTCATGAAGCTGGTTGAGAGAATGCCAAGCGTGTGCAAAGCTGTCATCAAGGCAAAGGGTGGCTATTTGAAGAATCCCAAATATAAAATATATTTGATTTGTTTAACACGTTTTTGGTTACTACATGATTCCATGTGTTATTTCATAGTTTTGATGTCTTCACTATTATTCTACAATGTAGAAAATAGTAAAAATAAAGAAAAACCCTTGAATGAGTAGGTGTGTCCACACTTTTGACTGGTAGTGTATATACAGTTGAAGTCGGAGGTTTACATACACTTAGGTTGGAGTCATTAAAACTTGTTTTTCAACCACTCCACAATTTCTTTTTAACAAACTATAGTTTTGGCAAGTCGGTTAGGACATCCACTTTGTGCATGACACAAGTCATTTTTCAACAATTGTTTACAGACAGATTATTTCACTTATAATTCACTGTTCCACAATTCCAGTGGGTCAGAAGTTTCCATACACTAAGTTGACTGTGCCTTTAAACAGCTTGGAAAATTCCAGAAAATGATGTCATGGCTTTAGAAGCTTCTGATAGGCTAATTTACATCATTTGTGTCAATTGGAGGTGTACCTGTGGATGTATTTCAAGGCCTACCTTCAAACACAGTGCCTCTTTGCTTGACATCATGGGAAAATCAAAAGAAATCAGCCAAGACCTCAGAAAAAAAATGGTAGACCGCCACAAGTCTGGTTCATCCTTGGGAGCAATTTCCAAACGCCTGAACGTACCACGTTCATCTGTACAAACAATAGTACGCAAGTATAAACACCATGGGACCACGCAGCCGTCATACTGCTCAGGAAGGAGACGCATTCTGTCTCCTAGAGATGAACATACTTTGGTGCGAAAAGTGCAAATCAATCCCAGAACAACAGCAAAGGATCTTGTGAAGATACTGGAGGAAACAGGTACAGAATTATCTATATCCACAGTAAAACAAGTCCTATATCAACATAACCTGAAAGGCCGCGCAGCAAGGAAGAAGCCACTGCTCTAAAACCGCCATAAAAAAGCCAGACTACGGTTTGCAACTGCACATGGGGACAAAGATCGTACTTTTTGGAGAAATGTCCTCTGGTCTGATGAAACAAAAATAGAACTGTTTGGCCATAATGACCATCGTTATGTTTGGAGGAAAAAGGGGAAGCTTGCAAGCCGAAGAACACCATCCCAACCGTGAAGCGTGGGGGTGGCAGCATCATGCTGTGGGGGTGCTTTGCAATTTTTCTGATGATTTAGGTGACCTACACACATTTTAAAAAAGATATGTCCAGCAACAACATGAAGACAGGGGCAGCATATAAGTCAATACTGATATACACATTACTTGCTTCAAAAAGGCCTCATGGTTGAATTGGAAATATGTGCACCTGAGCAAGCAGGAGCTTTTGATAGAGGCTACTGAAGACATTGATGCAAGTTATTGGTAATAAGAAATTTTTATAGACTTCCATATTCTGCCCTCTTGTATAGATTTGTGAAAATGAACAGTGATAGACATTTTGCCTGAAAACAGAATTTGAAAATAATTTATAGACAAGGTAAACACAGCTATCTGTATGGCTTTGTAAATATGAACAACCATATTCTGGCCAATTGTATAGATTTGTAAAAAAAATTGTTTACTTTTTTTAAAATGAAAAATAACTATTTTAAACAACATCAACTGTGAACTGATTTGGGCGTGTGTGTGTTAAAGAGACAGACAGGGAGGGACAAAGAGAGAGAGAGGCTACATTACTTGTACTGAAACTGTTCTCTTCTCTCTTTCAATGCAGAAAAGCGGTCAATGACTTTCTCATTGAAATCAGGCATGCTGAGGACTAGTTTACTAGTTACTTTTTAGCTTGCTGCATGATCAAATTCAGCTGATGCGCATAGCAATGCACGTAATGGCCTTTCTTGAAATGCTCACGCACCTTTTGCCTTCTCTCGCCTCATCACACTGGCTCCATCGTAAGCTTGCGCAATGAGTTTGACTTTCACGTCGTCGGCAAAAAGACCGTTCAGTCTCTCCAAAAGCACACTGGCGATTGAGACTGAGGTTGATTCCGAGATGGGAAGGAACTCAAAAAAGCGCTCCTGCACTTTGTGGTTGTCTCTTTGATGTGAACTTCTTTCAAAGAGACAATCGAGTTGCACTGAACGCTATAGCCATCTTGATAGTAGTACGTGAATTGATTGATGCTGCTACCCGCTCTTTTCTTAGTTACGTTCATGGTTACGTTACGTATGACGAAAGCGCGTAAGTGCAAGCCCTCAGAAACCCATAGAGATTGTATTGAAAGCTCTGAAATTTGAAAAAAATAGATTTTACATGGGAGTCTATGGCAGACTTCTGGGCGATTTTCAACCTGACTGAAATCGCCCCAAAAGGGGGGGGAGCCATTTGAAGCACGACTTTAGCCTGATTGGACATTTAGTGGCAGTGTGGCACTGTGGCAGATCAGACGTCTAGATTACAACACTGATAACTACTGTTGCCGTGATATAATTGATTAGAAAAAAATTCCCTTCCTTTTCCCGTTTGGCAGTGCGTCGCCCATATCGCCCTATTGAACAGACCGCCCCTGCTTGTCTTTGTACTCCTCATCTGGTTGCCGCCACACACCATCTAAACCAAATTAGTTTATCTTGGTCTCATCAGACCACAGGACATGGTTCCAGTAATCCATGTCCTTAATCTGCTTGTCTTCAGCAAAATGTTTGCGGGCTTTCTTGTGCATCATCTTTAGAAGAGGCTTCCTTCTGGGACGACAGCCATGCAGACCAATTTGATGCAGTGTGCGGCGTATGGTCTGAGCACTGACAGGTTGACCCCCCACCCCTTCAACCTCTGCAGCAATGCTGGCAGCACTCATACGTCTACTTCCCAAAGACAACCTCTGGATATGACGCTGAGCACGTGCGCTCAACTTCTTTGGTCGACAATGGCGAGGCCTGTTCTGAGTGGAACCTGTCCTGTTAAACCGCTGTATGGTCTTGGCCACCGTGCTGCAGCTCAGTTTCAGGGTCTTGGCAATCTTCTTATAGCCCATGCCATCTTTATGTAGAGCAACAATTCTTTTTTTCAGATCCTCAGAGAGTTCTTTGCCATGAGGTGCCATGTTGAACTTACAGTGACCAGTATGAGGGAGTGTGAGAGCGATGACACCAAATTTAGCACACCTGCTCCCCATTCACACCTGAGACCTTGTAACACTAACGAGTCACATGACACCGGGGAGGGAAAATGGCTAATTGGGCCCACTTAGCGGTGTACTCACTTTTGTTGCCAGCGGTTTAGACATTAATGGCTGTGTGTTAAGTTATTTTGAGGGGACAGCAAATTTACACTGTTATACAAGCTGTACACTCACTACTTTACATTGTAGCAAAGTGTCATTTCTTCAGTGTTGTCACATGAAAAGATATACTCAAATATTTACAAAAATGTGAGGGGTGTACTCACTTTTGTGAGATAGTGTATATGGAACCCCTGCAGTATGGACCCCTGGTTAAATTCCCCTGACCTAAACTGTGAAGCTTTGACATATCTAATGCTTTTGGGTTGGGTATTGTTTTTCTAGGTGTCCTGAATATACTTTTTTAAACTTCTGAGTTTCCAATGAATAATGAGCATGGTAATATGTTTGGTTACTTTGTTTGATTAAACAGCTAATCCCGTTCTCTATCTTGTAATTTACTTTAAACACACTCAAGCTTAAAACAGTCATTGTATGTCAATGGTTGCAGACCAAGCAGCATGATATGCAGCCAGCAGATCTGACCCAGAAAGTCTTCCTGTGTGGATTAAAACACCACCGTGTGTGCCAGAACGTCTTCCTGTGTCGATTAAAACACCACAGTGTGAGATATGGCTTGGAAAACGTACCTCAATCCAGGCATGAGAAATGTGATGTACTCCAAACTGTTCCATTATCCCAGCTGTTACACTTAGCAGATTGAATGACTGCTAGACAATTCGGAGTACAACGCATTTCTCATCCCTGGATTGAGATACGTTTTCCGAGCCATATCTCGCTGCGCTCCGCTGTGTCTTAATCTACACAGGAAGCCTGTCTGATCCTAGTGCAGCTGTAAGCAAGCGGGTCATATCTGCTGGCTACATGATATGAAGATACACAGTAGCCTGAAGCAGCCAAATAGTTCTAAAATTGTACCAACATTGTAGCAAGCACGAACTGGCTATATAGAACGTTGACATTCATTAGTAAGTGTACAAAAGTGGTCCCGTACAGTTCCGTTTTTCGTATTGAGTGTCAATAGTTAGATAGATATAACCATATAGCCTAGTTCAGTTCCCCCTCAACTTTGGTATCTGATTGTAGCCTATAATAGCAGTATCTTACCTTCATTCGAAAATTGCAAAACTATTGTTTTGATACTGCGACACCTTCTTATTCTTCGAGTGGCCTATATGTACGACGTGCGGGAGAGGATATGGTGTATTTCGAACAAATGTACATTTTACATGTTTTATCATGCGTTGGGAACTTCCCTCGGGGAATCCCCCGCGCCTGTCAGACTTCCGCCTTGCTGGACTCTGACCAATCAACTTTGAGGTACTAAATTTGTGCTAGGTGGTTTAGCAAATTGAGGGTTCTTCTTGCTGCCTACACGTCTGCAATGTTGTGCATGTAAAAAGTAATCCGATGAAACAAAGTTAAGTGGCAGAAAAATGTATGTGTTGAATTTACTGTCACCATCGCTGATAAGTGTTTTCTCACACTGCTAAGCATTGCTAGCTAAATTCAGCAGAACCCAACCCTCATTTCAGCCCTCATTGTCATGAGTGTTAGTGTGAAAAGTGTTTTGCCAAAATTGTGGTGAACAGTTATTGGTCTCTGACAGATAGTGTATAGCAAAATATAAAAATATGTCAACATGCTCTTTGCAAAAAAATATCACCAGCTGAGGTATTGTTATTACCCTATGCCTGTGCACTAGGCCATATTTAACATTTAACATTTAAGTCATTTAGCAGACACTCTTATCCAGAGCGACTTACAAATTGGTGCAATTAATTTAGTAAACTTTACAGTGTTATTTTAATGATTCTGAAAGATGTACAGTAGGGGCATGCCACTGTGTACTATAGCCTACAACAATGATCTGCTTTCATTGCACCAGCAAGAATACTGATACTGTATATCAACATCTTCCTGTGCTGTATTTGGAAGATATAAGCCTACTCTTATTTTCCTACAATATGCAATCACACATTTATTACCATGTAATAATGAGAATGCAATCATAATGATTTTTGCTGTTTCACATTTACCATTGAAAAAGGTTATTTGTGCAGAATAAAGTGCAACATGAATATGGGACACAAGTGGGCAGCAGGGCGGCAGGTAGCCTAGTGGTTAGAGCGTTGTGCCAATAACCGAAAGATTACACATCTATCGATGTGCCCTTGAGCAAGGCAATTAACCCTAATTATCTCCAGGGGCGCCGTATTACTATGTGTGACCCTGTAAAACAACACATTTCACTGCACCTATCCGGTGTACAGTATGTGACAATACATCTTTTTTTTGTGCCAAGTCCAATAGTAACCAACAGAGGGCAGCTACACACTTAGAAAAAAGGGTTAGGGTTCTACCAATAACCGTTTTGATCTGAAAATCCCTTTTTGGAAGACAAGGTTTCTTTGTAAGGCAAAAGGTTCCACGAGAACCTTTAATATCCTATGAACCGTTTTTTTGAAGAAAGGGTTATTTGATAATACTTTGGAAGGCAAGAAGGGTTCTTTGGAAGGCAAGAAGGATTCTACATAGAACCATGTATCATATTTCTCAGAGTGCTATATTGCCGGGTGATTTTCAGAATTGTTTGCATATAAATGCAACAATTTCAAAGATTTTACTGAATTACAGTTCATATGAGGAAATCAGTCAATTGAAATGAATTCATTAGGCCCTAATCTATGGATTTCACATGACTGGGAATACAGATATACATCTGTTTGTCAAAGATACCTTACAAAAATAGGCCTCACAATGGGCCACAGGATCTCGTCACGGTATTTCTGTGCATTCAAATTGCCATCGATAAAATGCAATTGTTTTAGTTGTCTGTAGCTTATGCCAGCCCACCGCAACCATGGGGCACTCTGTTCACAATGTTGACATCAGTAAACCGCTCGCCCACATGACGCCATACACGTGGTCTGTGGTTGTAAGTCGCTCTGGATAAGAGCGTCTGCTAAATGATGTAAATGTAAATGTAAAATGTTGTGAGGCCGGTTGGACATACTGCCAAATTCTCTAAAACGACGTTGGAGGCATCTTATGGTAGATAATCGAACATTCAATTATCTGGCAACAGATCTGGTGGACATTCCTGCAGTCAGCATGCCAATTGCACGCTCTCTCATAACTTGATACATCTGTGGCACTGTGTTGTGTGACAAAACTGCACATTTTAGAGTGGCCTTTTATTGTCCCCAGCACAAGGTGCATCTGTGTAATGATCATGCTGTTCAATCAGTTTCTTGATATCCCACACCTGTCAGGTGGATGGATTATCTTGGCAAAGGAGAAATGCTCACTAACAGGGATGTAAACACATTTGTGCACAAAAGTTGAGAGAAATAAGCTTTTTGTGCATATGGAACATTTCTGGGATCTTTTATTTCAGCTCATGAAACAAGGGACCAACACTTTACATGTTGCGTTTATATTTTTGTTCAGTGTATATAACATAAATGTTTCTATACTAATCCAATCTGTTAGTAGTTGGACTGATTGCACCCATTACTGAGGTGGTTGTTACAGTTTATATGATTGAGGTAGTCTCAGTATTCAATCTTCCCTACCCTTATAGTCATTCTGAATGCAGGTTGCGGGTGATAAAATATTCTACTTGTTGGACATCCTAACTCTGGCTCGATTCCAAAAGGAATTACACATCACTTTGCAAGCCAGCATAATGTGACTTGCAGGCCTGATGTGGCCTGTAAACCAGGATTTCCCTAACACCACTGTGTTAGGGTGTAACTAGGACCTCAAAGAAAGGCCTTATTGTATATGTAATGTATTGTCATAAATAATTTAATTTTAAAGACTAATAAGGCTGGTGGAATCATTCATAGAGGGTTCTAGGAAGAACCTTTAGATGATAAAATGGTTATTGGTAGAACCCTTCATAGAGGGTTCTAGGTAGGACCATATACAGGGGGTTCTATAAAGAACCCTACATAGAGGGTTCTAGGTAGAACCCTCTGCAAAGGGTTCTACCTAGCACCAAAGTGGCTTGCTCTCTCTCTCGCTCTGCTGTGTGTGCATCTTGCTAGCTGTCAATCAAATGGCGAAGAGCTGAATCTCATTGGCTGGAACTCAAATTGCTAGGGGGCTGGCCCAGGTGGGGGAAAATGTAGGGGAAATGGCGCACCACATCTTCCAGAGAACAGTCGCATTCAAACTAGGGATTTCGTAGCTAATTGAGATAAGACAGCAATTCTGCTTATAGATTATGCATGTATGAACTATACATTGACACATCCAGCGCAAAGCGGGAGGTTTGAAAAATACTTAGTAGTCGCCAAAGTTCCGGAGCATGTCTTTAAGGTAAAGGTTAAGGTTAGGGTAAAGGTAGGGTTTAGGGTTTAGGGTAGCTACATCCCAAGGATCCATGATTGTACTAACTCAAGTTTCATAAATAAATTGATAATTTGATGCACTTTTATTTTATATTCTATTATTTATATGGTGCCAGCATTTACACAAATACTATTTCAATCTATTGTGTAGATGTAGTTTTAAAAAAACGAACACTTTTAATAACACACATGTATCTTATTGAAATTACTCAATAGAGTCTGTAACATTTTTATTGGTCACTTGTGCTGGGCAACTGGGTTAATACAGAGTGCTGGTGACTCCTTACTCCACCCACTCCATTCACTGCAATGCAATACACTGTAGATGAATGCACTCATTTTTAGACGCTCTGGATAAGAGCATCTGCTAAATAACTCAAATGTAAATGTATATGAATAACATATTGGCTTATTGAGAAATAACTTGTCACGATCGTCGAAAGGAGGAGACCAATGCGCGGCGTTGCGAGTGAACATGATGACTTTATTATTTAAAGCAACCACGAAGAAAACAACAAATGACGATACGTGAAGTTCAAATACTGATACAGACTAACAGCAACACGGAAACAATAACCCACAACACAAAGGAGAAAACATACAGAATATATATGGCTCCCAATCAGAGATAACGAGCCGACAGCTGACACTCGTTACCTCCGATTGGGAGTCATCGACCAATCACCACATGACACAAACAAAATGAAACTCACCCATCCCCAACACCACCAAATGAAATACACCCAAACACATGAAAATGAACAACCCTGGCTCAATATAAACGTCCATAGAGCCAGAGTGTCACAGTACCCCCCCCTAAAGGTGCGAACTCCGGGCGCACCAACATCAGGACTAGGGGAGGGTCTGGGTGGGCGTCTGTCCATGGTGGCGGCTCTGGCCCCGGTCGTGATCCCCACCCCACCACAGTCACAACCTGCTTCGGTAGCCTCCTCCTAATGACCACCCTCCACCTAACCCCACCTGGACTAAGGGGCAACCCCGGACTAAGGGGCAGCATCGGCCTAAGGGGCAGCACCGGGATAAGGGGCAGCACCGGGATAAGGGGCAGCACCGGACTACGGGGCAGTACCGGACTAAAGGGCAGTACAGGACTAAGGGGCAGCACCGGGCTAAGGGGCAGTACCGGGCTAAGGGGCAGTACCTGACTAGATGGCGGATCCTGGCTGGCTGGCTCTGGCGGATCCTGGCGGGACGGCTCTGGCGGATCCTGGCGGGACGGCTCTGGCGGATCCTGGCGGGACGGCTCTGGCGGATCCAGGCTGGACGGCTCTGGCGGATCCTGGCGGGACGGCTCTGGCGGATCCTGGCTGGACGGCTCTGGCGGATCCTGGCTGGACGGCTCTGGCGGATCCTGGCTGGACGGCTCTGGCGGATCCTGGCTGGACGGCTCTGGCGGATCCTGGCTGGACGGCTCTGGCGGATCCTGGCTGGACGGCTCTGGCGGATCCTGGCTGGACGGCTCTGGCAGATCCTGGCTGGACGGCTCTGGCGGATCCTGGCTGGACGGCTCTGGCGGATCCTGGCTGGACGGCTCTGGTGGATCCTGGCTAGACGGTTCTGGCGGATCCTGGCTGGACAGCTCTGGCGGATCCTGGCTGGACGGCTCTGGCGGATCCTGGCTGGACGGCTCTGGCGGATCCTGGCTGGCTGACGGATCTGGCGGATCCTGGCGGGCTGACGGATCTGGCTGCTCATGGCTGGCTGACGGATCTGGCTGCTCATGGCTGGCTGACGGATCTGGCTGCTCATGGCTGGCTGACGGATCTGGCTGCTCATGGCTGGCTGACGGATCTGGCTGCTCATGGCCGGCTGACGGGTCTGGCTGCTCATGGCTGGCTGACGGGTCTGGCTGCTCATGGCCGGCTGACGGATCTGGCTGCTCATGGCTGGCTGACGGATCTGGCTGCT